GGAAGCTATTTAGAATGACAAAACTATTGTAAAATTGGGTTTTTCCTATACTCAAGGCTTCTCCCATCCTTTCTCCACAGTTCCAAAAGCCTGATACTGAATCATATAAAAACTCCTCTAACTTTTCTTAAAATAAGTAATTGGGGAGCAAACTCCAACTCATCGAATTTCATTCAATATTATATCATTTAAAAATAATTTTAGGTTGGTTGAGTTAAAAAGTACATAAAATATAAGCCAGCCTGATGTGTAAGTTAAAGTTTTTTATATATTCCTTTTGCATTATTAAGTAGCTTAATCATTCAATAACATTAAGAATTTATTCTAAAGAGGTGAAATACACTTATAATTATCAACCCAATTTTCTGAATTATGTATCTCAAATAAATATTTTTGTAGATAAATACCAGAAAATGAAATAAGTCTGCACATTAACAACTAATTATAATAATATTTTATAAACTGCCAGGATTAGCAATCTAAAGAAAAGAGTACCAATAAAAATGATTGGAATAAGTAAAATAAAGCCTTATTTGAACTAATCCAATAAATAAAAATAAATTACCTAATCTCTAAATTATAAATATATAATAAATTTCAATGTCTAATTAAATCTCTGTTGATATTCAATTTACTATTCCATATGTGTGGCGATATTAGATCAATTTATTCACATAAAAGATAATTAGATTTTTTCCCCAATTAATTCATGACTTAATTTATATGTTTGAAAACTTTATCTATATGAGTTTTCTAATAATTATATTGTATGATTATTTAATTTCATAAAGTCCTATCATAATAGACCCTACTTAATTGAAGCCTGGAATTAAATGGCCTTTTTACTTCATTTAAATTTCTCTTACTTTCTACCATACTATTATAAATCTTACTAATCAAACTTTTTTTTTTATATAATATCTCCATACTTATGTAATATTGTGATTCTTTTATTATTTCATCTGGATATACAGTGTAGTATCTATAATTTGAAATCTTTCTTAATGCACTATCTAATTTCACCCTTATCCTTCAAAACTGTTAATTAATTTAAAACTTTGATATATTCATTAACAGGTTATTTTTTTTGTCTTAAAATTTTAAAACATACTAATTAAGGAGAAAAAGATGATTGCTAAGTCATTAAAGCAGTTTTTTAGCCTAAATAAGGGGTGGCATGATTTAGCAGTGAAAAGGATGAGAAGAACTCACTTGCTTATTTTTAGTTTGTCTTTGTAGACTTCTGTAAATGAATAGGTGATTTCTGCAACCTTAAAAACCTTACTAGATGATAACGCTCAAGATGATGTCTGCTTTGGAGTGAACATTTTTAACTATATTATAAATAATAAATTCAATGAATATTATAATTGGAACTAACTTGAAACAAGCTTGGTATAAAAAGAGCGAACCAACGATGTTGTTATCCAAACTCTAAAAATTATACAGCTCACTCAGCTTTAGCGCCACCAATGTTTCTTTCTTCATTCAATGTTGTTATGTACAGTCATAGAACAATTTTAATCTATTTCTATTAAAAACCTTTAGATTTATTCCGCATCCCATTCATGATAAATAAAAAAAACTACCATGTTCCGTCTGCCCCTTTATTCAAAAGATTGCCTTCCACATATTCATAGATCTTTTCCAATATGTTCAAAAGATTTTCCAGAGTTCCCTCTAGCATAGAAATTGACAACGGTTGCCCTCTGTATAGCCATGTTCTCTAAAAGCCTCAAGTTCGAACTTCACATTAAAAATTTTTTTTTATTTTTCTCAGTGCTCAGAATTTACAAGAAAACACTAACGGCAATTCAATCCAGTTTGACTTTTATATTGAAATCAAATAAATTATTCTCCATTAATTCTATTCCACTTCTATCAAATAATTTTCGTATGTGTTATGACTTAAAATCGCATTTCATACCTTATTCAGTTTTTCGTCATGATTCCATGGATATTCACATGTCACCCTGGAAAACTGGTTCCACCGGCCTTAAGACCATGAATCAATCCTAATCCTGGCTGAAAGTGTTTAATTTGTCAAATACATGGCCCCTAATGGGCAGACACCCAGTCATGGTCAAATATCTCTCAATAGTTTACACATATTCTTTCATGTGTTCTCTTGAGCAGGCAGTCTGCTGATTTTACTTTTCGGTACCATCTCATCCCCAAAATATTTAATCAATTTTTCATGCTTTATTTTCAGGATGTCTCTAAAGAGAGGAAAAAATAAGATAATTAACATTTTTCATTATAAATTTCATGATATACTGGAATTTAGCCATTAAATAAATTTTAATCTATTTCCTTCAATAATAGGTTTTATCCATTAAAATAGAAGCAGGTCTCAAACTAATCTTCTAAAACTTAGAATTCTTTTATTGTATTAATGAATCAATGAATAGTCGATACTATTGGGCTTCCGCAATAGTCATTCTAGGGCTTTATTAGTAGTTGAATCAAAAAATTCACATCATTATCAAATTTAAATTAAAAAATTTTCATCGGACATCAAAGTCTTTTTTAAATTTGAAAAATTTATCTTTCTTTGAACCT